CTACCCGTCGATCCCGCTCCAGCAGGGCTTGGACGCCATCCGAGAAACAAAGGACAGATTCGTGCACATCCACAGCCACCCAGTTTGGCCGGAGATGGGTACCGCCAAACAGCTCAGTGCGTGCTGTGCGCTCCTGGAGCTAGTCATGACACAAAATCACCTACAATTCGATGGGAAGTTCTACCGACAGATTCGAGGTACAGCCATGGGTACTCCGGTTGCAGTGATCTACGCAGTTCTCTTTATGAGCTGGCTAGACACTCGCATGGAGGAACTACACCCATCCCTGTCAAGGCATGTGCTACTGCATAGACGCTACATCGACGACGGATTGGTAGTCTGGACCGGATCGCTAGCAGAACTACACCAATGGATAGAGGGTTACAACAGCCTCATGGACGGCATTCACATCACCACCGAGGTCAGCGCCACATCGTTTACGCTGCTCGACATCACCTTCAGCAAAGGTAATCTGTGGGAGGCAACGAGAAAGGAAGATGTGAGAGGCGGTTTTCTGGACACCTCAGTGTACCAGAAACCGCTGAACGTCTATCAGTATTTCCCTTTCCGATCGGCACACCCGCGACACTGCAAACGAGGATTCATAATTGGTGAGCTGTACCGCTACCTCCTGCGGGAGTCATCAGAGGAGGGCTTCCAACAGATGAAATCCTCTTTCGCAGTGCGTCTACGAGCACGCGGCTACCACTCGAACTTCATCCGGCAGATCTTTGACGAGGTACAGTACAGCGACAGGGAAACACTCCTGCAACGATCAGTGAAAGGTAAGCACCGTGACGGCAGAGTACTGCCTTTTGTGCTCGAGTACCACCCTAGTCTCGAGCACCCACAGATAAGGTCCCTGCTCCGGTCCGAGACGAGTAGGACAACCCTAGAGACGCTCTGCCCGAGACAGCCTTTCCTCAGCTTCCGTGCAGCACCTAAGCTGAGGAATATGCTCGTCCGAGCTGCTTTCACGAGTGCCGACGCTCGAGCTACTTCCGAGTGCAGTGCCGCATGAACGACACCACTGGACTCTATCGTATAGCGTTGCTGGGCTCGCCCCTGTTTGTGGCTTTCCATGCTGTTGTCCTCTCACACTGCATTTCAAACAATCGGGGGGGCTGCGCCCC